CCAGCTGCCGCATTTATTTGTTTAGCTTTTTGCAATGAATAGATGTAGAACATCATAGCAGAAAACATTCTATTGCTTTTGGACATGCTTATCTTAGGCCCTATTTTATATTTTCATCTCTCTTGTTTCTCTCTTATAAAACTGTAAGTAACTGACCCACGCTGTTTGGTCATCAGGAAAAATTTATATTCTTCAGCCCTTCCTTCTGGCCCTAGAAAATTCTTGGAGGCTTCTTGAGCCACGTGATCAACAATGTCTTAGGGGGCAACACATTCCCATAGTATACATACAAAACTGCCACGCACCATGCTGCTGCTCTTGGTCATCTGCTATGGACTGGGCAGAAGTCTGTTTCTTCTGCAGTTTGAGAAAACAATGGCAGTCCATTTTGTTCAGGGTATATGATTGTCTGCCTCTGGAAGCCTGTTCTTGAATCTGATACGATGACTCTGGGTGGAAAACTCTTTAATCCAGATGGAAGAAGGGCTGCTGCTTAGGTTGGTTTCAAAGTTCTGTTTCTGAACATACAGAAGGGTTGTTCCTTGCTTCCTTACAATCTTACAGCAAAGTTTCAGGCTTTTCTGCAATTAGCTCCTTGGACTTTGCAAGTCTTGCCTAGCTCCTCTTTCTCTTGGAGAGTCAGAGGCAGGTCATTTTGTACTCCGACTTCTTCGAGGGAGTCTTACTGGTTTTGTTAAATCACTTACCACTCTCCTTTGATAAGGTTTCACAGGCATAAACACAGGAGCTTCTGGGTTGAAGTTGCCAGAGAGTTAGGTTAGGTTGTTGTTGAGCTCTTTGACATTGAGTCTGGATTTTTGCTCTGGGATTGGCCTTTATGCATGGAACCAGCATCCAGTTTCTTTCTTTTGCTTCACAATGATTTTGTCACAAAGATCACTTGGAACAACTCTTCTTATCTTGATATAAGGAATTTCTTTTGCAGACCTTGGAAGTGGAAAGGCAGCACAAACTTTCCTTGTTAAAGCAAACTTTGAACTTGGACTCAGGAATTTATTCCAGTGGAAATCAACAGCAGGAGAGAGGTTACTAGCGCATCACCCTGTTCTCTGACCATATTTTCTAGGGGTTCAGAGGTCCCTTACACTGTAACTTAGCTGCTTCTAGCAATTCCACCACTGTAGTCCTTGGCATTCAATTGCAGCCTGAGAAATTGGTATATGTTTTCACACAAGATATGATTATTAAGGTAGTCCAGTTTTGTGTAGGACTTGGGTTGCAAAACCCTTCAAGGGCACACATTTTCTTATTACCTAGTTCCTGCTCATGTTCACCACAGTGGCCAGGATATGGGGAAAGGAAAGATTTCATACACACTCTGATCATTTGCTCTGTCTTGCATGGACCTTATAGCTTTACTCACAGTAATTCTTGTCCACAAACAAGTGCCTTCTTCAGCTGGACTCAGCCTTGCTTGAATTTGGACAATGACCTTATGAAGCTACACAAACACACCAGGAAATACACATTCTCCTCTCAGGGGCTAGAATCTCACCCACCCTTCTTTTCAGCCTGACTTGGTGATCAGCTGATGGGCCTAGTGAGACAGGTGGTGTGGCTGTGTTTACCTGAGGAATCCACATCTCTCTTTAATGTGAACTACCACCCACATGCAGACTAGAAATACCTTTTTAACAGCACTTAACACCATTGTGTTAAACAACTCACCAAAACATACAAGTCACAAGAACAATTTGAATAACAAAGAAATCATTTTTCTCCTTCTCTTCTCTTCTCTTCTCTTCTCTTCTCTTCTCTTCTCTTCTCTCTTGTCCTCTTTAGCCTTGAATCCACCTGAGAGAGACCGCTGCACCGTTGCTATTTTAATACACACCAACAAGAAAAAAGATGTCATTCAAAGTCAGAAGGAAAACAAAATCACTTAGTGCATGCCATTGTTCTGTTGCTATTCTTTTCTTCTTGGGACAAAGGGAACCTATTTTTATTTTTTCTTCTTGAAAAACCAGCTTGTGTCCTGGGACTGTAACCCAGAAATTTCTTTGAGACTCTAACCCAAACATTGCCTTGGAACTTGAACCCAAACATCACCATGTGGGCAGGATAGTGTAGGCAGGACATGAACTGGCCACACACAGGACTCAAATCAGTGTTGAGCAGAGCCCTTGAACTTGGACTATTCCTGTTCCCACTTCTGTCCAAAGCACAGCTACAAGATTAAGGTGTTGTTGTGGGCAATCTCCTTTTAGTGCCTAAACAACCTTCCTGACCACTACTTTGTGTACACTCACCCACCAGTCAATCCCAGACCCCACCATGCTGACTCACAGCATGAAGTGTGTCTTGGCTCTGGGAATTGGTCTCAGGGTGTTGCTTTCCTGCTTTCCTCAGCTAAATTTGCAACTCAGGGCTGGCATCCTATTGACTTTTCCTGCCACTTTAAGCCCCCGGGCAGTTGCTTGGTGGACTCAAAAGCCACAGTGCGGTGCATGCACAGAACATGCATAGCACAAGCAGATACACAGAACAGACAAACAAACACTGAGACATCTTACCAACCTATTCAAAGGGCAGATGATGTTGCTGGATTCACATTTTTCTTCTTTTTGGGCAAGATCTGATCCTATGGACAGTGCCTTATTGCCGGAACACGGCCTTGGCTGCCAGGCAAGACTTCCTTAAATGAAGGATGCGTTTTGCAGAGCCAAATCTGTGGCCAGAGAGTCAGACATGTCCCAACAGAATGGCCAGATTTGTTGAGGACAAAAAAAAGTCCCTCTTGTTTGTTGTCTGACTGTGAAAGGGACAACACAAGACGGAGTGTTTGATCCAGACAAGACGGAGGTCCTGTTGGTAGGTGGGTCTGGTTTCGGGGTGGGGCACCTGGACCTTGTCCTGAATGGGGATGCACTCCCTCTGAGGGTCAGGGTTCGCAGCTTGGGAGTGCTTCTCAACTCAGAGCTGTCGTTAGAGGCTCAGGTGACGGCGGTGGCGAGAAGCGCTTTACTTCAGCTTCGGCTGACCCATCAGCTGCGTCCCTACCTGGAGAACGATTGCCTGGCGACAGTGACACATGCATTGGTTACTTCCCAATTAGACTTCTGTAATGCGCTCTACGTGGGGCTGCCCTTGAAGATGGTCCGGATACTTCAGTTGCTGCAAAACAGAGCTGCCAGGTTGCTGACGGGGACTGGGCGTTGTTCTCGTATAACCCCAGTCCTCTGTCAGCTTCACTGGCTTCCCATTGCAGTCCGGGCCCAATTCAAGGTGTTGGTTATCACCTATAAAGCCCTCAACGGCTTGGGACCTGGTTATCTAAAGGAGTGCTTGTGTCCATATATGCCCTCCTGCCCCCTGAGATCGGCGGCAGAGGCCCTTCTCTGGGAACTCTCTGTGAAAGATATTAGGAGGGTGAGTACCCGGAGTAGGGCCTTCTCTGTGGTGGCGCCTCACCTATGGGATGTGCTCCCCAGAGAGGTCTGCCTGGTGCTGTCATTATTTGTTTTTTGGTGCCAGGCCAAGACCTTTTTATTTAAAAGTTATTTTAATTGTTAATTGTTGACTATTTATTGGGTTTTTATATTGTGCTGAGATGTCTCCGGATTTTTAAGGTTAATGTGTGTATTGTTGTTTGTTTTGTAAGCCACCCCAAGGCTCTTTGTGAATGGGGTGGCATAGAAATGTTTTAAATAAATAAATAAAAACACCAGGAAGTAATTTTACATTTAAAAAGGCCCTTTATTATAAGGTCACACTAACAACTGAGAATGAGCCCATCTGCATTTGAAACCAGCTGTCACAGTAGTAATGCACAGCAAATTCATACTTTTAGCTCTTTTCAATGATTAGATGTAGAAAAATATAGCAGAAACATTCTGTTACTTTTGTACGTGGCTATCTTAGGGACTTCCCTATTTTGAACCAATTACATTTTCCAGACCGTTGTTAAGGGTGTCCCCACACAAAGCGCATCACAATAGTCCAAATGAGATGTTACCACGAAGTTGGTAAAACAGCTGAAGCTGATAAAAGGCATCTCTTGCCTTGGAACTCACCTGGACTTCCAGAGATACCTCCGGGTCCAGAAGCACCCCCAAGCTCCAAACTCTGTCTTTCAGGGGGAGTACGAGTCTATCCGGGAGATGTCAGATATCCTCCAGCTGGACAAAAGACCCATCTACCAACAGTATCTCTGTTTTGTCTGGATTAAGCTTCAGTTTATTAGCCCTTACCCCACCTATCACCTCACTCAGGCTCTAGTTCAGCAAGCCACAGCCACGCCTGGGTCAGATGAAAAAGCGAGGTAGACCTGAGTCTCATCAGCACAGTAGTCAGTAGTACAAAAGGACCTGCAACTGACACTTCTGCCCAAACCTCGGGATGACCTCTTCCAGCAGTTTCATGTAGACGTTAAATAGCATGGGGGATTATATGGAATTCCACAGTACTCCATGGCATAATAGCTGTGGCACACAGCCACACACCCCCAGCACCGCCTTCTGGAATTAATCTGACAATGACAAAGGGGCGCATATTACACCTTCCACTTTCAGATCACCATCTTCCTATCCAGTCAAAAAGACCAAGTTGAGAGTGTGACCCCTTTCATGTGTTGGATCAATTGTGTGCTCAGACAGCCCCATGGTTGTAATAGCAGCCATGAAGTCCTGAGCCACCCCAGACAAGGCAGCCTCAGCATGGAAGTTGAAATCCCCCAGAACCACCATTCTGGAGGTCCTCAACAGCAGGCTCAATGCCACCTCTGCCAGCTCAGAATCTGCTGTGCGTGCAGCAGTGTGGGCGCTTTACTAATAAGATCCCTAATCTGCCTCAAATGCCCGACACCTGGTGCAAGCACTCAAGGCCTGGACAGGCACCCTAGAGAGAGGTAGTATATTCCAATAGACCATAGCCACTCCCCCTCCCCAACTGCCAAGGTGATGTTGGTACTGTACTGAGTACCCGGCATAGCGAGGAGAGAATAGCATCTCCTGTCTCTTTCACTTGTCTCATTGATACAGGCTAGGTCAGACTCTGGCTGATCACGGATATATGACAGAATTTGTACTACATTTCGTAAGTATAATAAGTCATGATACAACTATAGCCTTTCAATGGCCACCATGTTGCTTGGGCAAATAGGGATGCCCTTGGTTGTTCATTTTATTGAGGTCTGAGTAATATACTGAACAATCCTGTAGTGGAATGTGGGTTGATATAATCAGTTACTTCTGTGCCCCACCATTTCCTCCCTTGATTAGTTTTTTAAATTGAACAATTGTTGGGGTTTTTTTTAATGGTTTGAATGGTAGTAGCTGAGATCGGCTAAGAGATCTTAGTCAATACGTCTGTAAGAACTAATTATACAGTTGTATCCAGTTTTCAGAAGTGTTGTCTGTCACTTTTTCACATCACTTTCCAGCAGATTAATCACCATCTCTCTTCTTACTTCAGGATTTCATAGGGCTATTTTCGATTCTTTTGAAAGATCATTAGAATTGTAGGATGGGAGGTGGCTACTGAGTATTGTGGTACCAAATAGAAGAGATTCTAGCAGTGCCATCTGTCTACTCAGAAGGTATGTGGATACCCTGATTTCTGTTGATGTATGGGGTCCAAACTTTTGGATGGAAGAATAGCAATTTCTTGGAGGAAGTTTTTGTGTCTGAGGTATGGCTTTTTCCAGTTTTTTTTTTTTTTTTGATGACACATTTATACTTGACTTATTTCATCAGAATGAAGTACCATTGAAACATGCTCACCAAAGACCCCCCTCTTGAGCTAAAAATTGGAGGGAAATGCTTCTGATATAACAGATTATACTTTAGAAAGTACACTGATGGAATATACAATACATACATTGTATATCTATTAATTCCAATCATTCCAAAAGTCTGCTATTGCATTGTAAATTATGTTATTTTATTTACTGAAATGTCACAATACTGACTTTTTAAAGCCTTTGCATGCACGTTTTGAATAGCATGTCTCACTCTAATACTGTTTCCATATCAAACAGGACAAATCAAGTCACAAATGAAAAACTCCTAAAGAATACTTAAAAACAAAATTACAAAAAGAGCCACAATTACTTCTGCTGCTATTTGACTGCCATTTCAAATTTGCAGTGTGGATACCTTTGCAGGGTGGCTGAAACAAGGAATTGCCAACCTTTTGCAAACCAATATCTGCTTTTGTAATGGGTTACCTTGTCAAAGTTGTAAAAATAGTGGCAGAAACTGCTATGTGCATGGTAGCTGGGGCCATCGAAACAGGGAAGGGTGCACTGGTGCCTTCCTGGAGTTCAGGAGAACATTGTAGTCCAGGTATAGACAGGAGTAGAGAAGTTACCACTCTGGCTCACCAAGCATCGTCTGTCTCCCATGGAAGATGGAGACATGTGCTGGAATGTGGCCAAGTGATGTATGGCCCAGGCACTGCCAGGTGTCCATGCCAGTAAAAGGAAAAAAAAAAAAAATCATCTCTGAGGGTGGTCACTTGGGAATCAGCATATTGGTATAGGAAAGTGCATTTATATAATGGATCAACATAGCTACCTGATTTATTTTGACTGTCCATTTGGTAGTCATGATGAGCTCCTGTACATCAACATTTGTTTAATATTACACTACTAATGAGCATCTATCATCCTTCCCGAAAGGAATCTTGTGAGTTGTAGGTTGGCGATGGTGCTATGGATTCTGTGTGTACTGGCCACCTCACAGGCTTCAGTCAAAATTCTCTGGGAGACTCTGCTGCAATGGGTTTCAGTATATACTTTTGCCATCCATTAATCCTCACATCATCCTTCATGGATCACTGCCTTGTCGTGGCAAAGGGGCTTGCGTAGCTCAATGAAGCTATGAGCTATGCTGTGCAGAGCCACCCAAGATGGACAGGTCATAGCAGAGAGCTCTGACAAAAGGTGATCCACTGGAGAAGGAAATGGCAACCCACTCCAGTATCTTTGCCATGATAACCCCATGGACAGGACCAAAAGGCAAAAAGATATGATGCCAGAAGATGAGCCCCTCAGGTCGGAAGGTGTCCAATATGCTACTGGGGAAGAGCAGAGGGCTAGTACTAGTAGCGCCAAAAAGAATGAAGCAACTGGGTCAGCCGAAAGGACACTCAGTTGCAGATGTATCTGGTGGTGAAAGGAAAGTTGGATGCTGCAAAGATCCATACTCCATAGGAAACTAGACTGTATGATCCATGAATCAAGGCAAGCTGGATGTGGTCAAACAAGAGATGACAAGACTGAACATCGACATCTTAGGAATCAGTGAACTAAAATGGACAGGAATGGGTGAATTTAATTCAGATGACCCTCAGGTATACTACTGCGGGCAAGAATCCCTCAAAAGAAATGGAGTAGCCTTCATAGTCAATAAAAGAGTAGGAAAAGCAGTACTGGGATACAATCTCCAAAATGACAGAATGATCCCAGTTCGAATCCAAGGCAAACCATTCAACATCACAGTAGTCCAAGTCTATGCCCCAACCACTGGTGCTGAAGAGGCTGAAGTTGACCGGTTCTATGAAGGCCTACAACACCTTCTAGAATTAACACCCCAAAATGATGTCCTTATCATCATGGGGGATTGGAATGCTAAAGTAGGAAGCCAAAAGATAACTGGAATAACAGGCAAGTTTGGCCTTGGAGTACAAAATGAAGCAGGGCACAGGCTGGTAGAATTTTGTCAAGAGAATACGATGGTCATAGCAAACACTTTTCCAACAACCTAAGAGATGACTCTACACATGGACATCACCAGACGGTCAACACAGAAATCAGATTGACTATGTGCTCTGCAGCCAAAGATGGAGAAGCTCTATACAGTCAGTAAAAACTAGACCAGGATCTGACTGTGGCTCAGATCATGAGCTTCTGGTTACAAAATTTAGGCTTAAATTGAAGAAAATAGGGAAAAGCACTAGGCCACTCAGGTATGACCTAAATCACATTCCTGATGAATATACAGTAGAGGTGACATTAAGGAATTAGATCTGATAAACAGAGTGCCTGAAGAACTATGGACAGAGGTTCGCAACATTGTACAAGAGGTAGCAACAAAAACCATCCCAAAGGAAAAAAAAGCAAGAAAGCAAAATGGCTGTCTGAGGAAGCTTTACAAATAGCTGAGGAAAGAAGGGAAGTGAAAGGCAAGGGAGAAAGAGAAAGATACACCAATTGAATGCAGAATTCCAGAGAATAGCTAGAAGAGATAAGAATGCCTTCTTAAATGAACAGTGCAAAGAAATAGAAGAGAACAATAGAAGGAGGACCAGAGATCTCTTCAAGAAAAGTGGAGAGATGAAGGGAACATTTCATGCAAAGATGGGCATGATAAAGGACCAAAATGGCAGGGACCTAACAGAGGCAGAAGAGATTAAGAAGAGGTGGCAAGATTACACAGAAGAACTATACAAGAAAGAGCTTAACTTCCCTGATAACCATGATGGGGTGGTCATTGACCTCGAGCCAGACATCCTGGAATGTGAAGTCAAATGGGCCTTAGGAAGTCTGAGCAACAACAAAGCTAGTGGAGGTGACAGTATTCCAGCTGAGCTATTCAAAATCTTAAAAGACGATGCAGTAAAAGTGCTACACTCAATATGCCAGCGAATTTGGAAAACTCAGCAGTGGCCACAGGATTGGAAAAGGTCAGTTTACATTCTGGTCCCAAAGAAGGGCAATGCCAAAGAATGTTCAAACTACCGCACCATTGCACTCATTTCACATGCTAGCAAAATGATGCTCAAAATCCTACAAGCTAGGCTGCAGCGGTATGTGGACCGAGAACTACCAGAAGTACAGGCAGGATTTCGAAGAGGGAGAGGAACGAGAGATCAAATTGCCAACATACAATGTTGGATCATGGAGAAAGCTAGGGAGTTCCAGAAAAACATCTACTTCTGCTTCATTGACTATGCTACGTAAAGCCTTTGATTGTGTGGATCACAACAAATTGTGGCAAGTTCTTAAAGAGATGGGAGTACCTGACCATCTTATTTGTCTCTTGAGAAACCTATATGTGGATCAAGAAGCAACACTGAGAACTTGACATGGAACCACTGATTGGTTCAAAATTGAGAAAGGCGTTTGACAAGGCTGTATACTGTCACCCTGCCTATTTAACTTATATGGAGAGCACATCATGAGAAAGGCGGGGCTAGATGAATCACCAGTTGGAATTAAGATTGCTGGCAGTAATATCAACAACCTCAGATATGCAGATGATACCACTCTAATGGCAGAAAGTGAAGAGGAACTAAAGAGCCTCTTGATGCGGGTAAAGGAGGAGAGTGCAAAAGTTGGCTTGAAACTGAACATCAAGAAAACTATGATCATGGCATCCGGTCCTCTCACTTCCTGGCAAATAGATGGGGAAGAAATGGAGGTAGTGACAGATTTTATTTTCCTGGGCTCCAAGATCACCGCAGATGGGGACTGCAGCCAAGAAATTAAAAGTCGCTTGCTCCTGGGGAGGAAAGCTATGGCAAACCTAGACAGCATACTAAAAAGCAGAGACATCACCCTGCCAACAAAAGTGCATATAGTCAAGGCTATGGTTTTCCCAGTTGCAATGTATGGCTGTGAAAGCTGGACAATAAGGAAGGCTGAGCGCCAAAGGACTGATGGCGGATTGTGGTGCTGGCGGAGACTCCTGCGAGTCCCTTGGACCGCAAGGCGATCAAACCAGTCAGTCCTAGAGGAGATCAACCCTGACTGCTCTTTAGAAGGCCAGATCCTGAAGATGAAACTCAAATACTTTGGCCACCTAATGAGAAGGAAGGACTCCCTGGAGAAGAGCCTAATGCTGGGAACAATAGATGGCAAAAGAAGAAGGGGACAGCAGAGAATGAGGTGGCTGGATGGAGTCACTGAAGCAGTTGGTGTGAGCTTAAGTGTACTCCAGGGGGAGGGGTGGAGGACAGGAAGGCCTGGAGGAATGTTGTCCATGGGGTCGCGATGGGTTGGACATGACTTCGCGGCTAACAACAACAATCCTCACATTAACTTAAAAATTTACAACCCTATTCACTGTAATCACAGATTTTTCAATTGCAAAATGTATATAAGCAATGACTGCCAACCATAAGGAAGCTATTAGCAGACAAGACCACGTGGTTTGCCTTAATGAGCTACTATCTTCATAGCACCAGCATCTGGCCAGCTTTTCCCCAGCAAATTTTTGTGGTGTCTAGTATAAGTGAAACATCATTTTTGTTGAATCCACCACAGTCTTAAATCTACAGAAATAGCATACCTGGAAGCTAAAGGAACCTTCCATTGATTAGACTCTATAGAACAGTCGAATAATAAAAGGAATTATCAGTTTAAGCCTGTGGTTCAGCTATGCCCTCAATCCCTGCTCCCAACGAGTTCATCTTATTGTGGACCAATATTAACTTGCTCATAGTCAGAGCAGACAGCACTGCCACTCATTGCAAAAGGGTGGTTAAAAATCTTATGGATTGGTTTCAGATTTAGGCATGTACAACAGGACTGACAGAAGTGGACTTCCGATCCTACTTCCTGCAAAGAAACCCCCTTTAAACATCTAAAAATGCTACACAGATTATGAAAAGACCCTAATGAATGGGGAGAGCTGGGATGAAGGGAGGGAAGAGAAAGGATTTCCTGAAAACTGGGGGGAAGCATCTTCCATGAATGGAGCCCTTCTGTCAACAGAAGGCAAATCATGGTTTTCTGCCCAAGATGCTCTAAATTTAATATGTGGTCTTCTCAAAATCTTCCTTAAGTCTATCCAAAGAAACATTTCCTTGGATGGCATGGGAAAATTAAGAGAGAAAATGAAAAAAAAAAGTTTTTGATCAATTACTGGAATATTCTCATATTTATCCTGGTCAAATAAAGCATTTGTATCATTCATTTCAAAGTATGGTATTAAAATATAAATTTTATGTCGTAATAATATAGGGCATAAGAAGAATATTCAAAAAGAAACTTGAATATTTGTATCAAACATATGCTTAACTGTCCCATTAAGGTCAATAAATGGGATTTTAAAAGCACATAAAGAACAAATTTGTGCAAGAATGCATAAAAAAAACTCAACATCACTACTAACAACTTCCAGAAGGGGTGGTAAGCCAGGGACCAGAAGGGGATACTGGCTCATTTCATCACCCCACTGTTCTCTGCTCCAAATTCTCCCCCAACTTATTCTTCCTCTTTGGAGGAGCAGCTAGGGAGGAAAACTTGGAGCAAAGAGTTACACCCTTTGGCATAATTCAGCAGGGGACTTAGGTACCCATTGATTCTTTTGTGCCCCACAGATTCTATTTAAGGGATGGGCCCTGCCAATTGTTGTGCAAGAAGGATCTAAGGTTTGCACAAGGGGGATTTAACATTTCCCGGAGGAAGCCCCAAAATGAATGGAAATGGTTGTTTCTGAATTAAGACAAGATTAGGGGAACCTGCCTCATTCCAGAAACATTTTCACTGTTCCTGGTTGTTTCTGGAAGCACTAAATTGCCATTCCACAAGCAGCGAGCACCACTTGCAAACAGGGATTGGTGAAGTGCATGAGAATCAGCAGTCATATCACCCTATTGCATTCTGATCTTTATCTTCCCTATACTATGCTATCTGTTCCACAATCCTTACTGCATAAGGACTTTTTGTTTTGTTTTTTAAGTAACAGGATTCTGTTATTAATAAAAAAACACATAGTGATCCCCTGACTGCAGTTGGATTATGGCCCCAGGCAGCATTTTGGTCATGGTATATAATGTTGAGAAATTCCTTGACTTAGGACACTGCTCAAGAATTGTTTAGAAAATGGCAGTACATACATATAAGTTAAGGGTAGCTGGGGCTATTGGAGCAAGAATGGGCTGAGAGTGTTGTACAAAGCAGCTACAAGGGTCCATTTTCTCAATCTAGGCCTAAATCTGGAATGGGAAACCTGCAACCCCCTTCATATATTGTTGGATTCCCAGCTACCCCCAATTCGAATGGGTAACAGAGTCCAACATCTTGAAGGGAAACAGAGCTTCCTCCCCTTTGACCTAGAGGATATGGAAAAGCTGGTAGTAGTAGTAATACCTCCCTGTTGACCAGGCAAGGATAAAAGACATGGCTTGTAACAGTTATGCTTGGTTTGACCAAACTCAGCATTGCATTATGCCTGTTAATGTTGTTCACCCCATTCCTCCTTGCACCTGATGGGTGCTGAAAGACCTGAATATCTGAAAGGTAGGCCTCTGCTTCCAACTATTTTGGTTGCTTTTTTGTTTTTTGTTGAAGCTGCACAACAGGGCTGGGGAACATGTGGTCCTCCAGAAATTCTTATAGTCCAGCTCTCATATTCTCATCAGGCTGTTGGAGTCCAGAATGTGGAAACCGCTTGCAGTATATGGATAGTAAGCAGGGGGAGGTGGCGTGGAGAGGACCATAGCCCTGTGGGAGCTCATGCATACTTAGCATGCCTATGGGCACAGAGTCAACCCCTGGCATGTCCAGTTAAAAGATTCAGGTAGCAGAGCTGTGAACAGGTCCCTAGAACATCACTTTTAGCCAGGGTAGATGTATGAGCTAGATGTACTAGGAGTCTGGCTTACTCCCTACAAATAACAAATATTTTGTAACTTGGTTTGAGCACTTGAATGTACTATACTTTGGATATTTCTATCCTTCTGTTTCCTTTCCCAGTTATCTTTCTCTTTATTGTTTTAGATATCATTATTGGCCAGTGTAAGTAATCCATTAATTTTACTTTTGAATTATGTTTTGAGTCCTACAAGCGGTTCTCTTGTGCAACAGCTCTGTGCGATTCTCCTTTCTTGCATGGAATTTTCCCTTTGATGGAAAAATGATTTAATCATTCAGTTTTGACTTAAACGAAAATGTACTGGCATCCTGTAATGCAAATGCTTCATTCTAATGGCAAGCTTCCAGCAACTTAATTTGGAAATGAGTCTTCTGCATTCATAATTCATAAAAAGGTTGGCATGTATCCCATTAAAATAAGAGGAAATAATCTTAAATTCAAAAACACTCTTTCCCAGCTTTTCAGATTTATTTATACAAAAGGGCTCTCATTTCCTAAATTAAAATATATAACAACAATGTGGTATATATAACTATGTGGAGGAGTAGAGATGAGCAAGCTTTTAAAAATGTGCTGGAGAACCATTTGTGATCATCACACATTTTTCAAATGTTTAATTATCACTCACTGAAAGAAAGACAAAACAACAATCCACAGGCAAACCCTCTTACGCATAAGAGATGCCCCATATTTCTGCCAGGTTTAATAATAGGCACGCTACCTAGCAGCAGGGCATTTACTCACAATATTTGAGCAAAATGCACCACCCACTGATTTTGGCCTGGAATAGATGGGAGGGAACATGGCAGTTGTTGCACAAATTAGAGGATGTGTAATTGCACTGATAAACTACTGACAGTGCATAACATGTGGCAGATATCACAGAGTAGCCATTACACAAGCGGTGAGGCAGATCAGAAAAATATTTATGATGGAAGGTAGGAAAGAAAATATACATTTTGCTGCAACTATAAGAATTGGGAGCCTGATTATCTCAGTATATAAAAATATCACATGTGAAGCAGACTGAGCTCCTTATTTGGTATGAAATGCTTACATGTTCCTCATGTAAGTTTGTACTTGCATTAAGCCATTGCAGTGAACTTGAGATCAGCATCCTGTAATTTTAACTTTAAATCAGGGACCAGCAATGTTTTGCAATTTTTACTATTGATACTCACATGAAAGCATATAGGTCATAAATGCCACATCCTGTGACCTACCCATGTTGGTGCTTCTTCAGCCTAACCTACCTCACCGAGTTTGTCAGGGCTGAAGAGGAAGAGGAATATGAAAGCCGCCTTGAGTTTCTTGAAAGGAGAAAAGTGGACTACATATTCAGTAAATAATCCTGTGTGGGACAATATATGCTATTTCTTCTTTTTCCAATTTTAAGCTGCATCTTTTTTTAATGTACTTTTAAAACCTATTTTAGCTTTATACTGTTACCCACTCCAGAATCTGCTTAGATATGGATTGTTATACAAAAACTGTAAATAAACTAACATTCATAAAAGTAGAATTCCAGGTTTCCTTTCTTGATTTGTTCAACATGCTGTACCAAGTGGATTAGAAAGACTTGTTAAAGCCATCGAACTCTGAGGTTTGGATCCAAAGTGGCTTACGAATACACACAAAGTACTTCTAGAGTGTGTGTCAGGTTTATTTCCTTGTGGAAGCAGCACCTCCAAAGAATGTTTCCTAACCCTCGGGGCAGTTTTGGCAGCACAGGAGTTGTCTGCAGTAAGAAGAGGAACTCAAAAGCAGCCACACGCAGGTAAAATGCTTTCTGGATCCTGGCCTAAAAAAACAATCCCAAGGGTATGTATGAGTGATATGGTAAATAACAATTAAGGGTGCAGTCTAGTGCCTGTATCCTGGATGCACATAGTTCCAAACTTAGAGGCTTATGTGCATCCCCTAGCTGCAGTGAGGTGTGGAGGTGTTTGTGTAGAAACAGAACAATTACCTGAGATAAGTTTGTATAGGTGATGTGAAGTTGCTATAGCACTAGTGCTACATAATCTGCTTCAAAACACACATCCATTCAAAATCTATTACAAATGAGACAAATCTTCCAAGAAACCAAATAATTATTTTTATAGAACAAAATAAATTATATAGAAAACAAAAGTGCAACAAAATGCCTCTTATCATAGGCTGCACAACAGAAGTTACAACATGAATATATTTATTGCTTTCAGAAAGTAGCAATTCAGTGCTAACAAGCAAATTAGTATAACTTGCCCAACTTGATTTTTACAGGGCTTTATCTAACTGGGCTAGAAGCATACGGCAGCATCCAGACTGTACAGGATATGGTGTTCTTCACATTGCAGTGATGCTGTGGCCATCGTTGATATTAGCCTTGAACATACCATCTGAAGCACACTCTCTGTGTTTAAAATAAGTAAGAACATTAACACGATAACAAGCTTGTAAAGGGACCTCTCACCTGATTGCCTATGGAAAGTATGAATCACTTCCCATCATTCTGAAAATGACGACTTCAGGAGAAATGTGGTGCTTCACACCTTATTATTCACCTACATGGCACAAAGTGCTGAAACAAGGAATTGAGGGTAAGTGGACAAGTTTAGCTTTGCATGGATTGGTACCTTTTGTGGACTTGTTTTCAAGGCTGGTTATAAAAAGATGCTTCAACAAACTTTATAGGATGGATATATATATATACATATACATACATACATACATATATATCCTGCTCTGCATTTTACTGGTATCTGCTCTGGATTGAAAGTAGACTTCAAAACAATTTGTAGTAGCCAAAATATTTGCCATAATAAAATGCAGAATTTAATTATCAGCTCAGGGAAAGTGATTGTAGGCAGACATGTCACAATACGCATCAAAGAGATCACTTTTAATGGTTGTAAACTAGGCATTCTAAAGAATAATCACACAACCATTCCTGAGTAACAACCAGTGTTAAAATGATAAGACAGTCAAGTGCATCATTTTGGGTGAGTTACAGAGGTCTATATACAGTGCATTTCCATTGAAGAGATGGTACCAAGTTGTGTGGAGCTCTGCTACTGAGCCCAATCTGATAAAATCTCGAAATTATTTGAAAGCAGAATATGGCAACTAGTCTCTATTTCATAACTGCACATTTCTTACCTTATTCTGTGCTGAAGGTAATTAGTTGCCAATACCTGGCTCAAAAAGAACCATTAAAAAGGGAAATAATTTCAGGTACTGGCACTGCACAATTCCTAGATACTAGTTCAAATCCTAGTGGTACAGATGACGCTGCTTTCCCTCAGCCTCCCCCGCACCACAAGAGAAGAAACCCCACTTTGTATTAATCACTTACGCAGTGCAGTCGAAAATCTGAATGTTCCAACAGCAGTTTCCTAGGGAACATCGTTTTCAAAATATGAAGGTATACAACTCACACACCCCTCTCTGCACTGTGAAAAGTTTTAATTTCAAATGATCTACTGTACTTTTTTAGTTCAAGAACTATTGACTGGATGTAGAAACATTTTATAAGCCTGGTTGACCAGTACTTTGCTGGGTCAAGCAGTAAAAAAGTCTTCTGTTAGGTAATTAGTACTGTGGATGAAAAAGCCAGCTGAGTTCTGAGCCCAGCAGCCTTCAATTCTGGACCAGCGGTTCCTTTGCTTACCATCTTGTGCTTGCTCCTTCCCTGCCCTGCTGTATTTATTCCAGTTCTGTGCCGACACATCAGTCTTTGCCTCGTTTTTGCTTTGTCCAGCTTTTTCTCCTGTCCTTGCAGAAGAGGCCAATATTTCTCAATATCAAAAGCTTGTAATCCTATTATAAGCTTCAAATGGAAAATAAGCTATGCATTGGTGCATTGCTCTAGAATGAGATCTTCACAATAAAATTAGAGTTTTGTTGGAACACTTAGACAAAAGACGGAATGCTGTTAAGGCAGAAGGAAGCTAATATCAAAGATGAAAACACAGCTCCAATGTATGTATATTGCCTTCAGATAGATTTAATGAGGGACTCTGAGGCGTACATACTTGGCTATGTCCAGATATAAAATGCATTTAGCCCAGTTGTAACTAGTCAGTGATGTACAGAATGAACATGACATGAGAGCAACAAAAAACCATTTGAGCACAAAACTGAAAAAATGGTTATTCCCTAAACAGCAGCATTTTTCCCAAGACAAGACATAGGTAACATACAGATTGCATATTTACAAGTGCACTTCTTTTACAAAAATACTTATATCTGTAATAAGTAGGATAAACTAAGTCATTAATAATGACCTGGGGTTTATTTTTCACTTCAATTTGAATGATTCATAATCTAAATTTTACAACCACAAAAAGGTTCTTTTTTAAAATAAGGTGTTACCACTTTTGACAAAAGCTTAAGATGTTCAAAAAAAATTAGTAAAGAGATATTATGCATTAAGATTTTTACATATTTCAAGAGGTGTGGTAATACAAACTGTCCATCACAAACCAGATACAATGAAGTTCAGCATAATTGCTACTGATTTTACATGCCTCTCATCACTACTTAAATTACCTCTTAGGTAAGGGCACTTAAGTCCATCTTGTGCATGTTTACTTAGAAGTCAGTCCCACAGAGTTCTGTGGAGCTAACTCCAAGGTAAATGTGTATAGGAATGCAAACATAGTTCTTCTCCAGAACTGGAATATGTCTATTTAAAAAAAAGCATCATAATTTCTCCTTTAATGTTTGCGTAGCAGAGTACAAGTAGGAAAATCTAGGCATTTTTTGTTTTCTGTTTTAGAAAACTATCAAATAATTTTAGTGCTATTCTAAGGGGCAATTTTAAAATTCATCATTTTTTAGAATGAACAATTACTTAAAGATGGTTTGTAGGACAGGTAAAGGAGAGCCATGAGCACTGAAAACAAAAGCCTCAGTAGGTTTGTTTGTTTATCAACGTAAGAGGGCATTCCTCTAAGCTGCTTCACTGCATTCTATTTTATGGAGCTTCTGCTTGGCTAACCTTTGGTGTTTCAATGGTAGATAGCAACCAATTGGGTGTTTGCTTAAAATACAGATAAATACTTTATCATGAAAAAGTTATTTCTATTTTTTAAATATGCTTTTTAAAAGCATAAAATGGTTGCAGGACCAATTTGGAAGCAACTAAAATTCTTCAACATGTAAAGTTAATGTGACACACACTAAAACACACACTAAAACTCAGTGATAGAGATTAATTCAATATCTAGGGGAAACGAACTTCCCACAGTTCTGCTTTAGCAACCAGTTTAGCAGCTGTGCTTGTGCTTTGACATAATGCAGGATTTTGGAGAACTTGTCTGATCAGGACTGACAAGTATGCCAGTGCACCCTGCCCAGTGGCTTCTACTTGGCTCTTCCTGCAAGTGGGAATCATTAAACAAATCATGGCTTATCATTATGTCAGTGGCTTATCACTATGTCTGAACCAGGAATTTTGGCTAGCCTGCCACAGAGTGTGTTGTTGGCTTACAATTCTGGCTTGTCTGGGGAAAGGCAGGCCAAAATTCCCGGTTTGGACATTATGATAAACAAATCAGATGCAGGGTCTGCAGTTTGTTTATCCACTCCCATGTGTAGGAGAAATCATGTGGGAACAATTAGGCAGTATGCATTAGTACACTTGTTCAAGTGTGATATTGTGTGAGAACCAGCCCTGTGTCAACTTAAAAAAATAGTATGAACCTTAGTAAATGACTATGCATTCTGAAAATATTTCCTGTTTTGTGCCTCTCTCTTAGTTATCATGCCTATTGCCTTGAGGAAATGAATATAAACTACATATGCACTTCCCCCTTTGCCTCCTGGATTTTATTCTTGTCACATACTACACTCTGTCCTTCTACAGCAGATAGATATATAAAAGATGCCCCAAGAAAAAGCAGAGTAGAAGTTTATGTCACTCTGCAGTAATACTGCTTTGGAAAGAGTAAAGAATAGCATTGACATTTATACTGTTTTTCCTTTTTACTATCCAGAGGCAGCAGGGAGTCTATCCTGAGATGCAGAAGATGACCCTTCCTGTACAATCTTCAAAATGCTTTCTGTGTAAACATCTTGAGTAATGAATGTGTAAAGATAGGCTTTTTAAATTTGGGGAACTCAATGTTTTAACCTTTCATACATTTTGCTAATTTAGTTAACAATATTGCATCAAGGCATTAGTACGAGCATTTGAGGCTGAACATCATCAAAAAAGAGGAAAAAAGAAAGTCAATAATTTGGCACAGGACCATACTAAATAAATGTATCTAGCTAGCTGAAATTCCATCAGCAAGAAGCAGAAACAGGCACAAGGGGAACAAATCCTTCCCATGTGCTGGTTGAAGAAGGACAAATCTTTAGCATGCAAATAAAAAGTCAGTTTCAATCCAACCAACACAGTCTACATATGGAATCCAATGTCATATGGATACTTGGTAACCTCATGCCTTATAGGTGTTACTTTGTTTTCTAAGCTTGAGTACTAGTCATCATTTCCCTGTAGGAACAGCAATTCTTTGGGATGGGCATGCAAAACAGTAGTTCCAGATGCCTAGGGTGAGATCCAAAGCTTTCTATGTTCTTCTGTGAGAGGAAAATACCAGTCTACTCTATGGTCAAAAGCTGTATGCACACAGAGCAATTCTTTTTCAAGATTCCTTATACCAGTCTAGACTACTCATCTGCTCTGACCATTAGTAGTTCCCCAGTCTTGTGGAGAAGAGTCTTTTCCATCACCTGCTACCCAATATTTTTTAAAACTGGAGATACAAACCACTGAGCTGATAACTCCCATAGTGGAGTGGTAGTGACCCTCCTCTGGAAAAAAAAAACCTCCAGAAATGTCAGGGCTGCAGGAAGTGATCCAGAGTGCACAATAATGCTGTTGTTGCGCTTGCTATTCTGTACAGCTTTGGTGGACTGTTAACATTGTCATTTATGTAACTGTCCTCTGGCACAAACTGTTCTCTGATTATATTCTATTAGTCTCATTTTAATTTTTCTTGGTGCAATCAAATGTGCAATAGGTAGAGTTATTCATTGATGTATGAAGAAGTTACAAAGTTGTATAGAGGACATCAGCAGTTGGTTGATTTTTCAACAATTATCCAACCAACTGGTACACAACTATACCAGAAATGCAAAGTTGTAGGCCACAAGGAGGTCACACGTGCAAGAAATATTTTAAGGCTCTTAGTTTCACAGCTGACAAGTCTTGAATTTCCCTGCTTTTTCAAATGGAAAATATTTCCTTTCATTGATCAAGTTTACAAAATGTTATAAACAATTAAATGGGCATGGATTCATAGCCTGAAACATCTGGAAGTTTGCAGAACTGATGTTAAAAGTCTTTGTGTTTTGATCCCAAACACTTGTTTTTGCATGGAAGTGTGAAAGAGAAGATTTCTATTGTATGAATTTGTCTTAAGATTATTGTATTTTTGAGTGAACAAATTAAACATATTAAAAGATTAGTTTGAGAAGATATTTTTTCAGTTGGAATGACACTTTTAAATGTTACATTTCCTCTTATGAGTCAAATAAAAACTTCATTTTGCACAAGAAATTTGCAAATAGTTCAGAAATAAATTACATATATTTCACTTGCAAAAAGTAGTATGGTTTTATATTTGTTATACATGTAAAAATTAGCAACAATGCTCAGCTTGAGATTTGATTAAGGGAACAGAAATAGTTAATTGCCACAGGCCAACTGAAAATCTTCCATATCTTTATTAGCATTGACAGACTAGTCTCAGCACTAATAAGCTAGCCATACATGCTGAAGGATTTTTGGAGGAACTTTCAGATAGGAAAGGCAACAATGTCAGGAATGTTTTTTACTGATCTGCACTGAGCCTTTATTAGGAGCAGATCTGGCTGTTACCAAGAAGTTCTGAAAAGTTTAGTTCCTGCATTTATTTTTAAGCTTTTGGGTAACATCTAAAATTGTGACATGCATTGCTTCTTTGGATGTTATCCAGAACCATGGAAGGAAATGCAAAAGTAATTTTCCTATCCCTTCCATGTGCTTCCAGATCCAAAGAGTCTAAAGGCACCTTTCTGATATGCGATTTTAAATATGTCCCTACTTTATAAGAAGGGGGATGCAGGTGGTGCAGTGGTTTAAACAGCTGTGCTGCTGTGCTGGTTGATCAAAAGGTCACCGGTTCGAATATGCACAACGGGGTGAGTTCCCGTTGCTTTGTTCTAGCTCCTGCCAACCTTGCAGTTCGAAAGCATGCAAATGCAAGTAGATAAAAAGGTACCACTTCGGTGGGCAGGTAACAGCGTTCCGTGCACTTCGGTGTTTAGTCATGCCGGGCACATGACCATCTGTGGACAAACACTGGCTCCCTTGGCTAGGAAACAGAGATGAACATCACCCCCTAGAATCAGACATGACTGGACTTAACGTCAAGGGGAAACCTTTACCTTTTACTTTATAAGAGCTAATGCATCCACAGAAGCAGGTTTCTGTAATGCAATGAGGTCTACTGCCCGATGGTATAAGTAAAAATAAAACTAGAACCCAAATAACTAGTTTCATGAATCTAAATGAGTGGAAGATTTGCTTTTCGTAGTAAGTGGCATCACATGGCATGTAACAACAACTTTGGAAAGGGAAAGAAATGGCAAAAGTGGGTTTGCTATGGCATTGAGGTGGTAGTCAACTATTCAAAGGAAAAAAAATCACTGGGCAAGTTCAAGTCCTTGAATAAGCCCAAGCAGCTGTTTGTATCCAACAGCACTATATCCAGCACAGAAGGAATATGCAAGTTGCACAGCTGCATCTTGTATATTTCTTTTGTGCCTGTAACATTTAATAGATGAAGTTTGTTGGAGACTGCATCACAGAGACAAATATGGGTTTTGGGAAAGTAAACTTTCCCTTTATATTCACTTGGTTTACAAGTTAAGTCTGCAGTATTTGTTCGTCATACTTTCCTAAATTGAATTAATTACACCACCGATTCCTAAAGTGAATTATTGATGATGTGTAATTTACTTTACAAATGTGTTTATTAAAAGCTATACAGATTATTGAACTATATTGTTATTTAAACTTTAAACTGTGTGAAAGTAATGGAAGACAGGAAACAATATATCATGAACTCTGTAATGATGTCCATAACACATTTTTAACAGGATGGAATGCATGTATGATACTGAAGGCAACCACCAACATTTCTGTAACACAACTGCTCCTTATAAAAACAACTTTTGGTCAGGTAGCCTTATCAACCATATTAAATTTACATCAGTTTCAGTGTAACAACTAGATTGACAGCAGCTGCTGGATTCAAAATAGCCATAAAATGTGGTTGTGATGTCATCAAATTGGTACATTTTAAGTATGCTTGTGTATTACTGAATATGTTAATATAACATTGAAGCATCGTTGTGCCCAGAGTCCTGACAGCTGCACACTTAAGACCACCAATTTTGACCCACTTCTTTACTGAATTGCTGCTAATATGTAAGAAAAAATGAAAAGTTCAAAGGGAAGCCTACAATAGCAACAGTTTCAAATGTAAGAGCATCTTTTACATGACAGTTCGTTTTTTTCTTGTACTTAAACAAATTATGTAATGGACTTTTTCAAAAGAAAAAAAAACCTTACCTGCTGCATGCATGCTGATTTGCTACGTCTTGAAATCAAAATTCTAAGTCATACACATTACTGAAGGGAGTCTGTGAGACATACCATTTAAGGGCAATGCAGACTGACTGCATTTAACTTCTGACACAAAATCTAAATTTTCAGATGCTGCAAAAAGACTGTTGCATACTAATGAGTGAGCTATATCTGAACCTATGAAGAGTTGAACAAGAAAAAGGTAGTGGCACAATAACCACATTTCTAAAACATATATTATGTACAAAATATTTTAAAGGTATAGTTTTAACCTTTCATACAGTACTTCTTTTAAACAACATTTTCAGTAAAATAGTAAACGTGAAAAACAACAACTGCAATACCACATGTGAAAGAGCAGGTGGCCACCTCTGCTAATGTAATCAATGTTATGGACCAGTGAAATTTCCTAACAGGCAAAGCTAGTATTCCAGAGATTCAGACTCTTGACTATACATTTAACGTTTGGCTACAACTTGCAGTCTTTGATGCCACAAATATCATATGAATGTTTCAGTAGCAGAATGGCACTTGGCATACTCTAACAGAGAGGGATGGGGAGAGGGGGATAGTTGATCAATTGAAGAAAAAGTCCATATTTGCATGCTGAAATTCTGGTTGTGTCCCCCCAATCCAGGCACATCCATTCATTGTGCAATCTGTCGATGGGTAAACATAGTGCAGGATTAATCTCAGTGGGATCTGGCCCTTTGGTCTAACCGAAGTCAATTCTGGGTCGATACTGGAGTACCATGGGGTAAGACTAAGACCACAATGAAAACAGAACAAACAAAAACAATGACAGTATGTAGACATAAGTACAGGTGTAGTAGAAGTATTAAAATGTATCAGAGGAATTTAAACAGCAGTTTCTCAACAATCTATACATGTTTAAAGGAGCCAAAAATATATGGGACTCTGTAAATTAAAATGTTGTTGGGCTTTTCCTCTCTCCTGTCAGATTAGCTTGAACATTAGCACAAAATCCTCAACAAGAAATATATTGTCTAATTTCAGAACAATTCTGAATTTACTAACAGTATCCTTGATGCAGACTTTCAAAGCAGTCCTATCCCAAATGTCATCACCATTCATTTGGCTTTGAAAGGGGAAACCTGGGGAAAATGGAGTTGGGATCAGAGCCCATCCTCTGCAAGAGACTACCATGTTCCCCACCAATTGTTTTTGTGGATAGTTCACTCTAGTTTAATCAACTGAAAGACTGGTGTCTGTTGAATTTAAAGATTTAAAGTATTTTTTCCTGCTCTGAAAGCAACTGGCAGGGTACAAACAGTAATGAGAGGTCTGGGCTGAGTTGCTGTTTGTTGACCTCTCCCATGTCCCCAATATTGCACTTGGAATTTTGGGGATAGCTTTTCAGGTAGGAAAATTCTTCTCTACCTCTAATTTTGATTCAACCTGAAGAATCTGAGAAGAATTTGGGAGTTCCAATGTTTGCCTCTTCCTTGAATCAGGAAGCACCTGAAGCCTGTTTCTAGGCATGTGCCCAGTGGATATCACTAATATCACCAGTACATTTTGATTAAATAGAGAATATAAATGAACAAAATCTGCCATTGGCCTTTGTAGGGCTAGGCCAAGACATTTTGGTGCCTGATGAAGAACAGCTAATTGTATGCCTCCCGTACCATCCAGTTACAATATATAACATCCAAGGCTGTCTTGCTGTTTGGCAGCAAATCCTAGAAGCATGTCTCCCCATCTCCATGAGAAAAAAAAATCATTGACACGACAGTTTCCCTTTCCTTTCATTACTGCTACTACTATCATCAATTCTCTGAGGCAACTCTTCTATTCCACACTGTAGCTTTTGTTTCAAGACTCTCTCACACACCATCCAAAATACTATGGAGGAGTTGGGCTGTGAATAGTGTTCAGCAAAATGTATCTAGAGCTCCAGCTAGGATTCCCACCCAAAACAACTTGACTGAACAAGTTGAAGTTATCCTTCCTTGAATAGCCTTTCCTCTAGTAAAAAAGGTTATACTGTTCACAAGGTAGAGGGATTCTCTTCTTACACTAATTCATTTTAAACCGTTGCTGATATACAAGTAAGTTTGTATACTTTTAAAAACATAGGCAGACCTAGGACAAGATGCAGTCACCTATCCACTGCCACTGGGGGTTATGTTACTTAAAAGCACAACAGAAGAACCTAATTGCAGGCTGCTAACTAATTTTCCTTCCCCCAAGCTCAGAAAATAGCCCCCGGACAAAATAAAAGCTCATCTTTTTACCTGCTGGATATTTACTCTGTCACTTAGCAACTTGTGCTACCTCTTGCCCTTTATGTCTAGCAACAT